TTGTTAACAGCTATGGGGAACAAAGATAAGACTTTTAACTACATACGTTCTTATATCTTTTATCTTTGGGTCATGTGACTATCTGCCAATAAGTTTGAAAAAATATACTGTTTATTCTAAAAGCTTAGCCAGTCTCATCTTCTTCATTCTCAGTGGAGCGAAATCACTTGTAAAATCTTTTCAATAACTTATGATCTCCTTTAAGATAGGAATAATGTGCTCTTATCCATATTAATACTTATACAATGCATTGTATGACACAAACATCTTATATACTTATATACTTAAATGTAAGACATTTGGCACATATGTCTTACATATTTAAAATGCATACGTAAGACACTGTGGCCTACTTAAGGGTGGAGGCTGGGAGGAAAGTGAGTATCTAAAATCTACCTATCAGATACTATACTCACTATCTGAGTGATGAAATCACCAAATTCAAGTGACACACAATTTACTCACATAACAAACCTGCACATGTACCCCATGAGCCTAAAATAAAAGATGACAGAAGAAAAATAAAGTATATTTAAATTTTATTAAATTACGTAGAACTAATTGTCTTCATAGTCTTAATGCACTGTGTCTTCACTTTCTCCTACCACTCTCTCAAAGTAAACCACAAATGACTCCAAATATGTCATGTCTGAAACTATCATTCTATCTCTGAACCCAAATATTCAATATGTATATATGTGCCCTTATAGTTTTAGGCTCTAAACTTAAATATATCACACTTGCTGACATATTTATATAATAAATTTTTATGTAAAATTTCTGAAGTAAATTGTGTATGGATACATCATTTTAGCAGTATGATAGTTATTAGATTATAGATATTTATTAGAGCTATTATCTGTTATTATTCTAAGTCCTTGATTTACATATGTGAGTATAGGCATTCATTCCTCCTCCGATTCTCTAAAATATTATTTATTTTAGATCTACAGTTAAAATTATTGACATTTAAAAGTTCTTATATTAGAGTCAGACTTTTGTTCTCTCACTAGCATTTAAATATATAGTTTAACCAATTTTAAAGAAAACAGAACAAATGATTCTAGAAATTCTGATGCAATTGTTTCCCACTTGTGGAAACTAGACTCATACTAAGCTGCTTCTACCTCAGGACTATGTGTATAGCCTCTTTCTTTGTTTGGACATATTGTAAATTCTCAGGACATCACAAAAAGCCATATTAAATATAAATATATAAAGCATATCATAAAACCAATTTAAATGAGTTTTATTTATATAACTTTAGGGATTTATAGAACCACTTGTTTCTTTTAATGAGTTGGAAGGACTAAGATTTCACTATACTCAAGATAGAAATAAGGGCCAACCAATCTGATAAGGGCAGAAGTAAAGGTCTCCCTGAGTTTGTCTCCAGATATATACCGTTTAATTCAAACAGATTTAAGAGTCATTTGAACTCAAGTCAAGATGAAAAGTAGAATTTATCAAGTACTGGCCTCCTTATTCTAAGTACAGAGACCTATCAATGTCTGTCTCTTGGCTACCCTTTTTGTAATAAATGTAGGCTTGACATATAATGAAAACCAGCTGAGTAGTTTAAGGTACAGATGACTTCTTTTCTTCTTATTCCAACTAAGATTGGTTTTACTCTTCATAATCTCTCACAGCTGCCAAAAATCCATTTTATCTTTGCATGAGGTGAAGTTTCCATTAACAACTATTAGAGTAGCAGAGGTCAGACATCCAGTGTCAGATCTGCTACTAAAAAGAATACTGGGCAAAGAGTTTACCAAAAGGGGATACAAATCAGTTCAGAATCTTTATAACTTATAAAAAGGCTTTACACTTTCATATTTTTCTTACCTTTATGGTTCACAGGATAATTTCGGAAGAAAAAAGAGAGGAGAATTTATGTATGAATTTAATTATGGTGACTGAAAAAAATTAATAGAGTTGGAGCTTGCCTTACAAAATTTTTCCCGTTGCACTGCTGATACTTCCAGGCTACAAGCTGTAATGATGCTATCTATCTCTGGATGTAAACAAGGTAAGTGATTTCAGCTCTTAGTCATATTGGATGATTCTCTGCTTCAACTAATAATGGACCTCAAAGAAGAAAAAACAACTTTCATTTCTTATGTATTGAATTAAAAGCTAAAATAAATGTAAAAAATAAGCTTTACATATATATAACTATATATACAACTACATATATATGTATATATACACACACACACACACACACACACACACACATATATACCCACATATATACACCTTTTATTGAAGCTACCATCCTTTAAGAACATATATACATAGGTAGACATTATTTCATTGTGCGTATTCTTTTATTCTTTCATTTATTCTAGTATATTTAATTCTATGCATTTACTAATATTGATTGTGTGTCTACTATGTATCAGGCCTCCAAATTGGACTTTCTGCAGAAATGTCCAGGGTTAAATTCTAGAATTAAATTCCTTTTAATTATAATTCATGAACAACTTTTGAAAACAATAATCTTGAAATCACAAAAAATGGCAGCCAAGTGAAAAACAAATGGATAATTATTATACATTGTGGTATGTGCTATGGCAGAGACATACAAAGCTTATGGAGACATATAGCAGGAGCATATCATTTAGACATGAGTTTTGGAGGTCAAATAGAGCTTACACCAGCCAGAAAAGATACTGTCATGAATAAGCAAGCAAGTCTTAAAATGTTAGAAGAGTCAGTTAAGTAAAATGGCAAGAAGAATGGTGTTCTTGGTAAAGAATCACTAATACAAGGGCGTGTGTGTTTGTGCGTGTGTTTCATAAGAGAAAGAGAGAGATAGAGAGAGCCTGAATGGAAGACTGAAGAGCACTGGACTCTAAATACGAAAAAGTCGTGAGTGAAAGACACAAAGCAAGGAAGTGGGGCCAAAACAGAAAGAACCTTTTCTAGCAGAGTAGAGTTTGAAATAGAGTCATAAAGGCAAATTCCATGATTTGGCGACAGGCTTATGACACAATTGTATTTGCAATTTAAAGCTCATTCTGGCACAAATGTAGAAGATAATCTGTGGCTTCAGATAAATTAGAGAAGATGGTCTAAGGGACTGTCATAAGTAACATGGATAAGGAATTAGAACTGTCTGAAGTCAGGCAATAGACGTGAAATTAAGAAAGGACAACTTGAGAAATATTTAGAGATAAAATCGACAATTAAGTGACAGAAAATTTTGTGGGGAAACAATCAAAAAGGGGAATCAAGGAGGTTTATCAATTTTGTGATGAGAACATTCCTCAATGGTGCTGTTATTCATGACATCAGGATGTACAAAAGGTTTGGTAAGTAATCAAAGATCAGTCATGCACTCAGCACTAAAATGATGTAGTGGGCAGATTACTTGCTTGACTGCAAGTACTCTATTTTCTAGTATTTGAAATACAGTTCTTTCTTCAAATCCCAAGTGAAGTGTAGCTCATTATTAAAAGCATTCCTGAAAGCTTCTCACCATATTCCCAACATGACTCTCTTATCTTCATCATAGCATTTACCCTGTTATGATATGCATCCCAGCTTGTGGAATATGCTTGTTTGGACAACCAGATTGTGAGCTTCTTATAGACATAATACTTAAAAATTCATGTTTGAGACTCCACAATGCCAGCCAAAAAAAAAAAGCCTTTACATATAATAAGTACTCAATAAATGTTTTCGGAATTGAACCAAGAAATAATATTCTTCATCGAATTCCTTTCAAATGAAAACAATAGATGCTTTTGGTCTCACAGTTCAGTTGAAGGTAAGGTCATTTCTTGCCAGCAGGCTATGACTGACTTTAATTAAATATTTTATACCATTCATCTGCTGCTGTGTACCATGTCTTTTAAAACACAGGAAGCATTAATCTGCAGATGAATGGTATAAAATCTTTTTACAATATTTTCTTCAGTTACAAGCAGGGTATATATGAACCATAATATTTTCTGCACCATTCTAGAATCATAGAAGAATGCACAATATCAATAGACACCTACAGTGAGGGTAATAATATGCATATGGTGCATTATAATACCCGCATGTTAGTTTCAAAAACTGAGAAAATAAGAAATAAAAAGTAGAGAATGTTATGACTTAAATAATGCAAGCATGAGCGTTAAGTCAGGTCTTTAAAGGAAAGATTTCACATGTGGGAAACATAAGTGAAAGCATTGTATGTTTCACTGTGTGGTAACCTCTTATCCTCCTCCTTTTGGTCGACCTGTGTCATAGCACTGTGGGTGTCCAATATTGCTTGCTAAATTGGAGTGACTGGAAGAAGGGAAGGCAGGCTATGTGTGAAGCAGGCAGCAACCTGTACCACCAAGGAAACAGGAACCGTGCAGCTCTTGCCATCACCTATAGTATAAGTATTCATTGCTACAATTGTTAGAGTGGTTCATAAACATAGTGACGTCTAAAATGTACCACGTTGAAACGATGGGAAAGTTGAGTGAAGAAGAGTTGAACAAAAAAAACAAGCCTAAAATGGCTTTGGAGCTGGAGAATGACCATTTGTCTTCAGTTTATTTTTGACTCTTTCTTTCTTTCTTTCTTCCTTTTTTATTTTTTTGAGACAGAGTTTTACTCTTGTTGCCCAGGCTGGAGTGCAATGGCGCAATCTCAGCTCACTGCAGGTTCAAGCAATTCTCCCAGGTTCAAGCAATTCTCCTGCCCCAGCCTCCCAAGTAGCTGTGATTACAGGTGTGCGCCACCATTCCCAGCTAATTTTTGTATTTTTAGTATAGAAGGGGTTTCATCGTGTTGGCCAGGCTGGTTTTGAACTCCTGACCTCAGGTAATCCACCCACCTCAACCTCCCAAAGTGCTGGGATTACACGCGTAATTGGATTGCACCCAGCCTGATTCTTTCTTTTATTGTCAGGCAGGAGATGGTGGTAGAGATATCTTGGAGAGTTAAATGTATCATGAAAAATGTAGACTGAATCTTCTACCACTTCATCTCCTTACTGCCCACTTCAGAACAACTTTCTTGTTCTCTATTTTAGTAAGAAGTGAAGTGATAGGTTTCTGTTGTATAATCTGGGATTGATTTAATTTGCAAATAATTTTAACCTGGCAATGAAGAGCTTCCCATAAAACAGCACCTAACTTGCCAGTGCAAGTCCCAAAACCTCAAAAGTAGGGAAGCCTCCAGTGCAGCCTTCAGTCTGATGTCAAAGGCCTGAGAGGCCCTGGCACACCACTGGTCTAAGTTCAAGAGTCCAAAAGCTAAAATATTTGGAGTCAGATGTTCAAAGGCAGGAATCCTCCAGCATCGGAGAAAGATGAAGTCTTGAAGACTGCTTTTATCTAGCCACACTGGCAGCTGATTAGATGGTGCCCACCAAGATCAAGGGTGGGTCTGCCTCTCCCAGTCCACTGACTCAGATGTTAATTCCTTTGTCAACATCCTCACGGGCACACCCAGCATCAGTACTTTGCATTCAATATTAACCATCACAAGTCTACCCCTTGCCAACTTGAACCCATACACATCTCCTAAAATGATATATAATCTTCAAATAAAGACAATAATGAAGTTATAATTATGCCTAACATGATATAGTGATCCTTTGTACAAACGGAAGTGCAATCATCCTTAATCTAAATGATAGTTACATAAAGTTAATGACACTTAAATCCCGATATGAGGTCGGTAAATCCTATGTCACATGATAAAGAAAAAAGAAAGGAAATAAATTGATGATATTTTCTTATTACAAGTGTATACATGCACAAACATGCTCTTAATAAAATAAGGAAGAAATACTCATGACAATTACAGTCCTTGTTTCTGGCCACTGGTCACATGGTCAAAGCCAGTATTGATGACTACCTTCTTCTACTAACCATTCTCTATTCCCTTTGCCTTCAGCAAGTACCTCGGCAGGTTGTGGGTTTTTATTTTTTTTTCACTGTGGAGTGACCCAAACCTTCATTCCTGAAGGGTCTGTGCCATTTGTAGTCCTGCCTGGATTGGGCTGTTGTAGTTTCTCATTGACCTTAATCATGGGGTATAGTAATACTAGGAGATGCCCTAGTGGATCTCCTGTATTCCATAAGTACTCTTCCTTACCTCCATTGTGGAGTATTAGACTGATTTCATCATGACAGTCTGGGTCAACCACCCCAGCCAGCCTTCTAACTCCCTCTCAGCCTGTTGGCTTAAAGATAGGAGGAACCTAAAGTGTCCAGGTGGCAATCTTAACCTCCAGTTTAATGAAATCATTGTCTCCTGGTGGCAGCACTCCTCTCTTTGGAATGAAGACTTCTAGGCCAGTCAAGTGTAATGTTGTGGGAACAGGAAGTAAAAATTTTGCTAGTAGATAACTAGGGGTGATGATGAGTGGTACCATTTCCACTTCCACTCCTTGATTCCTGGACCCACAAATCCTGGCCATGGGAGAAATGGTACTATATATTGGATGCTGATTCAGAGCATACATGGCCTTCTAGAGAACTTTGCCCCAGCCCTACAAAGTATTGTCACAAGTATTGTGACAACAATACAATAAATATTGTTGGTGTTGTAATTGTGAATTCAAAATGCCATTTCACCATTCTATTAATCCAGCTTCTTCAAGATGATGAAGAACATGGTAAAGTCAATGAATTCCATGAGCATGAGTCCACTGCCACAATTCTTTAGCTGTAAACTGAATGCCTTGGTCAGAAGCAATGCAGTGTGGAATACCATGACAATAAGGGATTCTGTGACTCCCGGATGGTAGGTAGTCTTGGCAGAAGCATTGTGTGCAGGATAGGCAAACCCATGCCTGGAGTAAGTGTCTAATTCCAGTGAGGAAAAGCTGCTGCCCATTCCATGATGGATGAAGTCCAATATAATCAACCTGCCACAAAGTAGCTAGCTGATGATTCTGAAGAATTGTGCAATATCCAGACCTCACTGTTGGTCCCAGCTGCTGGCAAATTGGGCACTCAGCAGTAACTGTAGCCATGCTAACCTTCTTGAGTGGAAGTCCATGTTGCTGAGCCCATGCATAACTTCCATCCCTTCCACCATAGCCAGTTTGTTCATGGGCCATTGAGGAATGACAGGATGACTGGGGGATGAGGTCAAGTGGTGTCCATTATACATTTGACTATGAAAATCCTCCTCTGCTGAGATTACTGTTGGTGAGTACTCACATAGGATACAAATATCTTCACAGTATTTGACAACTCAAGGAGGTCCATCCACATACCTCTTCCCCAAATTTCTTTGTCACTAATTTTCCAGTTATGCTTCTTCCAAGTCCCTGACCATACAGCCAAACCATTGGCTACAGCCCATAAATCAGTATATAATTGCATATCTGGCCCTTTCTCCTTCCAAGCAAAGTGTGCAAATTTGAGCAGCACAACTGTAACTAGAAGGATTTCCTTCATGACTGTCCTTCAGGGATGTCCTGGAAATGGGCTTTAGGGCTGTAACTGTCCACTTTTGGATGGTGCCAACATATTGTGCAGAATCATCTGTAAACCAGGCCCTAGTCTTCTCCTCCTCTGTCAACTGATCATAGGGAACTCCCCATGAGACCATTGGTGTAGGCTGGGACAGAGAAGGCAGGATGGCAGGAGTGGAGACCATGGGCATTTGACCCACTTCTTTTTGTTAACTTACTTGTGCCACCAGGGCCTGCTTGAGCCCAATCATGTATATGTTACTCCGTTTGATGATGAAATGATGCTGTGGACACCCCAGTTTATGGCTAGATGGGCCAGAAAGCACCCAGTTCATAATAGAGAGTTCAAGTCACATAGTGACTTGATGACCCATGGTCAAACATTCTGTTTCTACTAAAGCCCAGTAAAAGGCCAAAAGCTATCTCTCAGAAGGAGAGTAGTTATCTGCAGAATATGGCAGGGCCTTACTCCAAAACCCTAGAGGCCATCCACTGTGATTCACCTATGGGGGTCTACCAAAGTCTCCAAATAGCATCTTTATCTGCCACTGACACCTCAAGCACCATTGGATCTGCTGGATTATATGGCCCAAGTGACACAGCAGCTTGCACAACAGCCTGGAACTGCTGCAGTACCTTCTCTTGTTCTGGACCCCACTCAAAATTGGAAGCGTTTTGAGTCACTTGATAAATGGGCCAGAGTAACATACCCAAATAAGGACTGTGTCTCATCCAAAACCCAAATAGGCCAACTAAGTGCTGTGCCTCTTTCTTGGTTATAGGAGGGACCAAATGCAGCAATTGATCCTTAACCTTAGAAAGAATTTTTCAATAGTCCCCACACCACTGGATTCCTAAAAATGTTACTGAGGTAGAAGTTCCCTGGGTTTTAGCCAGATGTATTTTCCATTCCTTGGCATGCAAATGTCTTGCCAGTAAGTCCAATGTGTTTGCTAATTCTCACTCACTGGATCCAATGAGCATAATTTTATCAATGTAATGAACCAGTGTTATATCTTGTGGAAGGGAAAAGTAAGCAAGATCTCCGTGAACAAGATTATGCCACAAAGCCAGGCAGTTGATATACCCCTAGGTAGGACGGTGAAGATATATTGCTGGCCTTGCCAGCTGAAGGGAAATTGCTTCTGGTGGGCCTCACAGACAGGAATGAAGAAAAGGGCATTTGCCAAATCAATGGCTGCATAACAGGTACCAGGAGATATGTTAATTTGTTCAAGCGATAAAATCACATCTGATACAGCAGCTGCCATTGGAATCACAACTTGATTAAGCTTGCAATAATTCACTGCCATTCTCCAAATTCCATCTGTCTTCTGCACAGGCCAAATAGGAGAGTTGAACAGGGATGTGGTGGGGATCATGAACCCTGCATCTTTCAAGTCCTTGATGGTGGCATAATCTCTGCAATCCCTCCAGGGATGCAATATTGTTGCTGACTTACTATTTTTCTAGGTAAAGACAGCTCAATGGACTTCTTTGGCTTTTCTCACCATAATATCCCTCACCAACGTGGGGGTTCTGCCAGCTGCTAAGTATGTCTATGCCAATTATGCATTCTGGCACTAGGGAAATGACTACAGGATGAGTCTGGAGACCCAGCTGACCCACTGTAAGTCCTGAGCCAAAGCTCTACTAATAACCTGACCTCCATAGGCCCCTACTGTAACTGGAGAACCATGATGATGTTTTGGGTCTCCTGGAATCGACACGAGTTCAGAGCCAGTGTCCAGCAGTCCCTGAAAGTTCTGATAATTCTCTTTTCCCCATTGCACAGTTATCCTGAGAATAGGCAGGAGGTCCCTTTGCGGAAGGATGGGAGAAAGGGTAACAGTGTAAGTTGTTGGTAGTGTAGTAGGACCTGGCCTCCCCTTGATTCAAGGGGTTCTGGATCTGTGATTGAGCAGCTGCGGTTCTCTGTATTTACAATTCAGATTGTTATTATTTTTTGTCCACTTGACCTGGGAAGTTTTCTACTTATACAAATTAAGTAAGAATGCAGTAGTCTTCCTATCAATTTTACTTCTAGAACAACTGTGATTAATTAGCCAATGACAGAGCTCAACATGAGTCAGACTTTTCTGATTGCTGCTTTGTCTCTGCTGTACACGAGGGTAACTATACCCACCTTGCCTTTGATGGTTGAGTCCTGCCACTTTTTCCTTGCCACCTTGGGATCCAATTAGTCCCATTGCATTTAAGTTTTTCAATTTGTGTGACTGCAGTTCCCACTGTAAGGTCTCGCATACAGAGAAAAACAACTGCAGAGATTTTCAAGGATGCAAGTGCTCCCCTCACAAATCTGTTTTGCAAGGTATTGATGAAGGGTATATCTTCTGGGCCCTCCCATCTGAGATGAGTAGGTCTAAAGTGACTCATCCACCGTAGCATTCCAATCTCCCTCAGCTTTTTGATCCCTTCCTCTACATTAAACCAAGGAAGATCAGGCATTTCCAGCTCACTAACAGTGGGCCATCTTTTGATCCATGTTTCAGCTAACCAAGCAAATAAATTATTAGAACTTATTTTTTTTTTTTACTCCCTAAACTGCAACATTAAATCCTGCTTAGTAGGCCAATATTAATAAATTCAGCCTTATCCAACTTTATGCTCCTTCCACCATTATCCCACACCCTTAATATCCATTCCCATGCCTGTTCTCCAGATTTCTACTTATATAAATTAGAAAAATCAAGCAGTTCTATTGGAGTGTAGCACACCTCCTCATGGGTCACACTCTGAATCTCACCTCTAGGGGCCTATCTTGACTTGAGTCTAGTTTTAGGTCTAAAAGAAAACAGGGGTGGTGTTTGTGGGTTTTGAGAAGGATCAACATTGTCTTGCCCGGCAACTGCCTCAGGGGAGGCCAGCACTGTTGCCTCAGGCAGTGCATGGTTAATCACTTCAGACAAAGGTGGGAAGGCTGATGGCAGCCTTGGTGGGAGAGGTGATGTTGCCACCACTAGGAGTAAAGAGACTATTTCCTCTGGCAAAAAAAGCCTCATCAGAATTTAGGAGCTCAATGTCCCCAGCCTCATTAGAGTTTTACCACATGTCCCCATTCCAAGTTGCAGGGTCCCCTTTTTTTTCCCAATCAATGCCTTAACTTTAATAGTAGACACCTGGCGAGGCTGAGCATGTACATTTTGTTACAGGTCAGCTATTCCTATGATAAGAGCTTGTGTCTGATTTTTTACAATTTCAGCCCTTTGTCTACAGGAGGTAAGAGTCTCACTCAGAACCATCTTAGAAGATTTGAGGTTTAGTACGTGCTTCTGAAGCCAGGAGTTAAGCGTCCCTGAGCTCATAGTTTCTTTTATCAGTTTAAAACTGGCTTTGAAAAATTTTAACTGAGGACATCATTTCAGTCAAAGACATCAGACCTAACCAACTGCATCTTCCTTCTAACCTCTAAATTGTCTTTGTTCATTCCATGGTGTACGCTGAACTATGCTTGGGGAGAAATTTAGTTAATAGTTTAAAATCTGAAACCAAATGGATAATAGCCTTTTCCTGGAAAAACCCCTTTCTGCCTGGAGACCAGTCTGCCTTTGAAGGACTAACTAGCTATAAGATTAGAACTTATGATTTAGGAGCTATGCAGCCTCTGCTTGCAAGAGTCTAAACCTCCCAAAAATTGCTCCTGGGAATAGTATCACTTTTGTAAAATTTAAGATTAGTGCTTGAGATATTTTGCAGACCCTGCATTCTGATGCAGCAGAGGACACTAACCAGACTGATAATCCAGCTCAACCAGTTCTACAATCCCACCCAGGAACAGAAGCCAGCAAAAAGAACTCATTTCCACCTTACAATTTTATCTTCAACCCAACCAATCAACAATCATCACTTTCAGAGCCCATACCCGCCAAATTATCCTTAAACACTCTTATCCCTTAATGCTTGGGGTGACCAATTTTAGTTATAATAAAACTCCAGTCTCCCAAACAGCCAGCTCTGTATGAATTACTCTTTCTCCATTGCAAGTCCCTTGTCTTGATAAGGTGGTTCTGTCTAGGCAGTGGGCAAGGTGAGCCCATTGGGTGGTTACAACGTTGTCCAGCAAACTTAGGAATGACAACCAACTTCATTATATTCTTTAGCTCTCCACATATGGTCAAAGATATTATGTACAGAGTCACTCGTTCCTTGCTTCTCAACAGCAGTGCATCAGGAGTAGCAAATGTATTTATTTTGCTTAACTCTCTATACAGTTCACTCCAAGGGCTATCAGTGTTTCTTATAATATCAGAAGTAGAGTTCTTAGTATTTGGGTGTCTCATCAAATTAAGCAGGCAACTCCATAAATCCCAAAACCAACTAAAAGTTCCATCCTTAAAATTCTCTACCTCTAGAATCACTCCTAGTACCAAATTGGTATTAGTCAGGGTTCTATAGAGGGACAAAATTAATAGGATTGATGTACTTAAAAAAGGGAGTTTACTGAGGAGTATTGGCTCACATGATCACAAGGTGAAGTCCCACAACAGGGGCCATCTGCAAGCTGAGGAGCAAGAAAGTCAGTCCAAGTCTCAAAATCTCAGAAGTAGGGAAGCTGACAGTGCAGTCTTCAGTCTGCGGCCAAAAGCGCAAGAGCCCCTGGCAAACCACTGGTGTTTAAGTCCAAGAACGCAAAAGCTGAAGAACTTGGAGTCCAATGTTCAAAGGCAGCAAGCATCCAGCACAGGGGAAAGATGAAGGATGGAAGATTCAGCAAGTCTGCTCTTTCCACCTTCTGCCTGCTTTTTTTCTAGCTGCGCTGGCAGCTTATTAGATGATGTCCATGAAGACTGAGGATCGATATGTCTCTCCCAATCCACTGACTCAAATGTTAATCTCCATTGGAAACACTCTCACATACACACCCAGGAACAACACTATATCATTCAATCAAATCAAGTTGACACTCAGTATTAATCATCACATTTCCCTTTTACACAACCACATTCGCATACCTTTGTTTTCCTAACAGTGAAAATGAAATTTTAAAATAATAAATTATACGCTGTTACCATTCTGTTTATAATTCTTTAGTTTCTTTATATCTCTTTACATTTAAAATTATTTTGAATCTAGTATCCCCAGTTCATTCTATCTGGCCATTGAGCACCCAACACAGTGGGCTGATATCAGCTCATAGGACACTCCACACTCTTTATGGCTTATAAATTTTTAAATGATTTTTGCACATGTTACTTTTCTTGCCTAGAATGTGCTCTTTCCACTCTTTCCTTTGCTACTTTTTCCATTTTCTTCAAGTTGCCATTGAAACGCTGTTTCCTTTCAGACAGCTTTTGGAAAGAGATCATAGAAAATTAATGCCACCCTCTACCATTATTGCCCCTCAGAACACTCATTTATCTTACTTCATATCAATTATTTTTATATGTTTATTGTGTAGTTACTTATTTAATGTCAGCGTCTTCTGCTTTACTGTAGGATCTATAGTAATCGAAACTCTTCTTTTGTTCCATTCTGTTGGTATCTCAGAACTTTGTACAATGCCTTGAACATTAAAGGAGAGTCATAATCTTTTGAAAAAGAATGAGCTAATTTTATGTGTTTTTGTTTGTCTAAAGGCTATAAATTTCCTTAAGCACTTCATGAAACACTACAACCAAGATTATAGATTACAGAATATTGTTTAAAAATTATTGCAAAATATATTGTTTTCATTTAGTTATGTATATTTTCCCTTATATATTGCTGATTAGCAGAAATGTTTTGGTTTTGTTTCCATCCTTAATGTTGGATCTCCATGTGCACCTTAAGAAGATAAGGGAAATTACACTTCAAGTGTTATCAATTTTTTTTTTAAAGCATGACATCTATCATGTCTGTGTTAATGACATAGTAATCACTATTAGTGTTGGGGTGCTGAAAGAACACACAAGTTTCAAACAGTTTTTACCCCTAGATCCTCTTTATTACAGGCAAAGGGAAGAGAATAGCAAAACAAAGGAAAGTTATACATTGAAATGTTTCCTGAGATCTCAAGTGAAGCTAGTCATCCCAGAATGGGCCAGATACAGCAGAAAGCATATTGAGATCTGCTCTTGAACCATCAGCAAAAGACCTTGGTGCCAGAACACCTAAGTTAGCTTTTGGTGAGAATATTTATGGTGAACTGGCCATGTATACATATTCATTTGAATGAGACATATTTTGTCCAGTCCTAATTGTACTTCTCCAACTCCAAGTCTCTA